ATATCCTCATACATCTTCAATGATGTCTCACAAAATTTAGTGACTTGATGAACAACTTTGGTTAAACTTGCATGTATACAACACAAATATGAAGATGAAGAATCATCTTCACTCTCCACATTAATTTTACTATAAGATCCATTAGTGCTTGCAATATCTAAATTATGTTTTTCATGAAGTTCTTTATCTTTTTGCTCTATCATGTCATGAATATCAGACACAAAGTATTGTAGTGAATGACTTAGTTCCTCAAAAGGCAAAGCCTTGACCCACTTGATCAATCACGACAAAGAACAAATATAGGTGGGGCCAAAGCACAATAAGGGGAGAATGACTTTTTGCTCTTTGAACGTTCCCTTGCTTATAGTATACAATTTTGTAGCCATCCATTGAGAGTTTCAATATATGAGGTGTGGGTGTTGATCCAATTAGAAAAATTTAGACCAAAGCACTCAAACTCTTCTAGTAGTTGAGCCTTTATCTCTATTTAAGTACTATCTCCTTCCAAGGTTCTTGTTAAGCTCCTTGAATGACAAATCAAAGAGATTGTAATGTATTGTGCATGATGACATTAAATCAACTCGCACTACTAACATCTCCGTAAGCCAATATTACTATCCGTCTATCTCCATTCATCTAATGAGTTTAGATTATACATTCAATTTGTTTTTATTCATATGATGGATTCAGTTTATACATAGTCTGTCTTCATCAAGTTAATGGGTTCAATCTATCATGTTTTATAAGACTTAGTCTTAGTGTCTTGAATCCAGTGATTTAAAAACCGGACCAAACCGGCCGATCGGACCGGTTGGACCGGAAATCGGTGGTCCAGCCAGTCCGAATCTTAAATTGGATCGGTTATGCAGTCGACCCGTTTCAAACCGGATTGAACCGGTCAATTTTCTGGTTCAACCAGTGAACCGGTGGGTCAAACCCGTTCAACCATTTTTTTTCTTTTTTTTTTTAATTTTTTTAAGGGACCATAAACCACAAAAAATAATAATGAAAATTGAATCTCTTAATGGAAAAGCAAGGAGTCTTATTAAATATAACAATGACTACTTCTAATATATTTGTTTACAATATATACAACTTAAATAACTTTTATAGTATATTATTAATTTTAAATTATATATTTAATAATATAATATTTATGTAAATATTACATATATTATCTTGTGATATTAATTGCAAGCATATTATATATGTACATATTATTTATATTTTTAATTTGTATTAATATACCGTTTAACATGTAATTTTTTATGTATTTTTTTACAAAATAAAAATAAAAATAATTTTAAATAAGATAGAAAAATTGAAATTTAAAATAAGATATGAATTTATTAAAATTTATAAGTATAAAATATATTTAATATGAATATTTTTTTAATAAAAATAAATAAAAATCGAGTCATGCGGTTCAACTAGTGACCCACCGGTTCAACCTTTGACCCACTGACCCAGTACCTTAACCGGTTCGATGACCGGTCCG